CCCACTATTATGGCTAGACAAGGTTTTAGGAAAGGAAAAAGATTAGAAAAACAAGAACAAGGTATAGCAGCACCAATACAAATAGATCAAGGAACAGACAAACATGGATTGGATTTTCAGAAAGGGTCACTGAGACAATAAAAATTACTTGGAAATCAGAAAGACCAGTATGGGTTCCTCAGTGGCCCCTGACTAAAGAAAAGATACAAACAGCCCAATGAGCATCACCACAGAGGAGCCAATCAGTTGGCAGTTAGAAGTTTGCTGGGGCCGCTGTGAGCCAATCATCAGCTGGCAGCTGGAAGTTTGCTGGCAGCTGGAAGTTTGCTGTGGCCCCTTCGGCTGTGGCTCTCAACAATATTCATTCATTTTTTCTCTTCTCTTCTCTTCTTTCTCTTCTTTTTTCCTTTCTCTCTCTCTCTCTCTCTCTCTCTCTCTCTCTCTCTCTCTCTCTCTCTCCTTCTTACCTTCCACAATGGGATGACACAGCAAGAAAGCGCTCCTCAGATGCTGGTGCCTTGATCTTGAATTTCCCAGCCTCCAGAATGTTGAGGAAATTAATTCCTGTTCTTTATATATTACCCAATCTCAAATATTTTGTTATAAGAGCACAAATAAACTAAGACATAAGTGTTGATGTGAATGTAGAGAAACAGAAATCCTTGTGAACTGCTGTTGGCAATGTAAAATGATACAGATGTTGTAGAAAACAGTAAGAATGATGGTCCCTCAAAAAGTAAACTTCGAATTACTACTGAGCCAGCAATTCTACTATTGAGTATACACCTAAAAGACTCCAATTAGGCACTGAAATTCCCAATGGTCAAAAGACAAAGACCAAATGTTTTCGCTGATATGCAGATACTAATCTCACAATTGGGGTGGGGGTGGGTGTTAGGGAAGAACAGAAGTACTTTGGATTAGAAAAGAGGGAATGAAGAAAAGAAATGGGGAATGGAAATAAAATAGTAGAATGAATCAGACATTATTATTCTATGTGCATATATGCTTATATGACCAATGTAATTCTACATCATGTACAACTGAAAGAATGAGAAGTTACACTCCATTATGTGTATAATACATAAAAATACATTCTACTATCATGTATGACTAATTAGAATAAATAAAAAAGATGGAAGCAACTTATATATATTCATAGACAT